TGTGTCCAGTAGCTTCTTCTTAACCAGGGTACTATTTGCTTCTATATGCACAAAACCCATCATACACTGCACATACACTCTCTGAATGACACTACATCATAAGGCATCAAACATTCAACATCAAACCTCAGACCTTGGGAACAATTTCAAGGATGAGTCATCTGAGCACATGGGCACCCTTACTTTGACAACCACATGTTCATGGGAGTAGTCCCACTAATTCCAATGCTGCTAGTCATGTACATGCTCATCAATGCACTGGTAACACAAGACAATATGGCCTACTGACATCATGATTAAATAGGAATGAAATAACCCTGCTGCTAACATTTGGTTTTTATCCTAAATGACTTGCATGGATGTGAACTTTTAATTTGGAATTTGATGGATGGAGGAGTCAGTATTATGTCGTGCATCCACAAAGCTGCCTACACCTGAGACGTTTGGACACTAATGTCTTACTCATCTTCCTGGAAAACAAAGCAAGCATTGTACATTATTTTCCATAGCTGTCATAGTACAGTCTCCCCTTTAGGTGAAAAATATTCTTGGGTCTCCCTGAAAATAAATCTCAATTCACCTCTGTAAAAATTACACAAAAGAGTGGGGGGGGAAGCCACAAATCAGATGAGTTGTGCATTAATCAGTGTACAGCACTGCTAATTTGCAGCACTAGAGCAAAATTTGCTCCTAGGATTTCCCGGGAGCAAAACAAAAAATCCCAGAAAAAAAGCAGCCCAACCCATGCCAAAGTGGTGAGCACTAAGATAAATGCAGAGACAGGGAGCAGGCAGCCCAGGGTTGCTCTCCCACCTCTGAGCTACTTACTGATAAGTAGATATAGATATAAATATAGATATAGATATACACACACGTGATCCAGGCTACATGCAACCTCATGCTCTGCTTCCCTCTCAAAAGTGGTCCCCTGTCCCCACCTGCAATGTGTTTGATTATAGAAAGGAACACAGTTCCAATTTCATACAAATCCTTTTAGCAAGTAGGTCAAAATTTTAAGCACATAAGTCTGTGTTTACATGCGTCAAATATTCCAGTTTGCAGAGCGTACTGAAGCTGGTCTCAGCATCATTGAAAACCGTGCTACTTACTGATAACACTGTGTTATCAGTGTATTTTTAAATGGTCCTGTTAATAGCAGTTAGATCTTACTGCAGCAAAAGTACATTGAAGCTGTCAGACTATATTATAGCACCAATCAATTCTTCCTTACTCAAGGTGATTTTCTTAGGGGTAGCAGTAACCATAACTTGCATCCATGCAAACAACCAACTTTTCTATGATACCTAAATTTTCTAGGTGCCTGCAGTCAGACTTCCTGTCTGCCTGGGGTGCAGGGTGCATCAAGACAGGGGAGCAAGCAGCCCTGGGCTGGCTGCTCTCCTGTCTCCATGTGCCTTAGCATGGGGGCTTCACTGCAGAGCCCCAGCACTGAGGCACACCGCACCCTAGCCAGCTGCTCTGCTCTGCAGCTGGGGAGAGAGCAGTGTGCCACAGCCCGAGGGCTCCACATGCTTCAGTGCAGGAGATTCACTGTGAAATCCCTGTACTGAGGCACATGGAAACAGGGGAGCAACCAGCCCAAGGCTGCCTGCTCCCTCATCTCAAAGCACACCGTACCCCAACCAGGCAGGGAGTGGCTGGCTGGGGCACAGGGTGCCTCAGCATGGGGGCTCCACGGTGTATGGAGACTGGGGAGCAGGCAGCCCAGGCCCCCATCTCCACATGCTGCTCTCCAGCTGGCCAGGGCACAGGGTGCCTCAGCATAGCGGATGGATAGCCCTTGCTTAGGCATCCTGTGCTCCAGCCAGCCCCCCTGCACCACGTGGAGCAGTGGGACAATGTGCCCCGCTGCAAAGCACATGGGCAGGGGTGTGCACTGTGGCACAATGTAGTGGCACAAATTTGTGCTGCTACTATTTGTGATCGTGCTCCTGCTTGTGTAGACCGGGCCTAAGGTGTCACCCTGCCCTACCTTCTGCCTGACTTCAAACTAACACAATGAACCACCTCTGGACATTGCTTGGGAGTAAGAGATGGGAAGCTAATGAGTTTCCAGCCCTCAAAGGACATTGGGTTTGCTCACCCCTGGTTTGCACTGCAGAGTCCAAGGACAGACATTACGTGCCATGCCAAAGGCATCTTCATTTACATATGTGTAAAGGTATGGTCTGGTTCCCAGAGTGTTGTATTGCAAGAGCCCTCTGAGGGCCAACTAAAGAGACTGTTAATGTCCACCTGATTCCTGGCTGCTTCTTACAAGTGAGGCCTGTACAGAGATAAAAGGTGCACCACATAGTAAGTACAGACGGGTACATACCCTGTATGACACAGACGGGTATATACCCTGCATACCAAGGTCAAGACATGAAATATGCACCCTACAGCCTAACTATGAGCAACGAACTTTTTCTAGTTAATGGGAATTAGCATCAGAATGGAACTGACTAAATATTAGGTTATTTTCACAGTTGGCCAATTTTACTGAATCTCTGAAACCAGTAATGGAACTGGGCAGATACTTTTCAAATTCATACTGCGGCCTAAGGAAACTAGGTGCAGCAATGATTAAGGGGCCAATCCAGCCAGAAAGAAAAACTAACATGGAAAAAGGAAGAAAAATCATTTTCCTCCAACTCTCATTATTTCACATGCCTCAAGCTTGTCACACCTTACGGGTCTCTCCTTTGAGACTTTGGCCCTCTTTTTATGCCACCAATCAGTTTTGTTTTCTTATTGCCAAAGCATCTATTTCTGCAGGATTGCTGTGTTCCAGGTGAGGCTGAGCCTCTGCTTTCTATCATTCATGATAGTTTTAATATTTTCTCTTCCGTTATTTGGAGCAAAGTTCTGTTTTCTTGTTTCTACTCCACTCTAAACAGAGGCTTTTTAATGAGCTGTCCCTAACGACGTCTACATCTCTATTCATACAGTCTGTATAAAGCACCGTTGTCTAGTGGAGTAGTGTGAACTATTCATTCTGATCGGCATTACCTGTCACTTTTTTTATTAATAAGCTGCTTCTGCTACCTAGCCATCTTAGCTTTGCTAGATCCTGCCACCTCCTCAATTTCTCCACTCTAGGCTTTGCACAAGACATAGATTTGGATTGCCAGAATATTTAAAAATTGATCATGTTCCTTCAGGTTACATGAGACAATGGGAGCATTTACATGTGCAATTAACGTGCAGTAAGGTTACAGCGCAGTAAAATAAGGCGCACTAAGATGTGGCTGGGAATGCATCTATACATGCGCCCTGTCAGGTGCAGGTTTGTGCCTAATGGGAGCAGCCCAGTCCAGGGCTGCTCCTGCCCTGCCCTGCCCCACCTGCAGCAGCCAGGGGGAGCTCCAGGCTCCCCCATGTGCCAGGCCAGGGGCTGGCAGGGGGCACAGGAGCTAGTCCCAATGTGCACCGCGCTGGGAAAGCTGTGCCAGCTACAGAGGCAGCTGTCTCCCGGCTGTGTGCACATCAGGATGGGGCCTGATGCGCATAGAGCCAGGAGACAGCTGCCCCTGAAGCTGGCACAGCTCCCTAAAGCATTCCTGGACACCTGCTTCCTGGGCTAACCAGGAGCAAAATTGCTGTGGCTATGTGCATTATACTTAATACTCCAATAATGCTTTTTATTGAGTGCATATTCCAGAGAGAGAGACAGAGAGAAGAGAAAGAATGAAAAAATACTTCTCTTTATTTAAAAATGCATACAAGATCAGGCAACTACATCTATAATGGTACTCATACATTAGTAGTGGGGACCAGATAAATGCCTATACTAAAACCCATGGCTATGTTTATGCATTTAAAGTTCTTTTTAACCCATTTTAGTGCAAAAGGTCACCAGCAGACTCTAAATTACTTTATCACTCAATCCAAGTAAGTCTTATGATTTAGATCTGTCCGCACTGGTCTGTGACCAGAAGAACTGGATGACAAGCCAATCTATATGTGGATAACCTGGAGAGGGTCCAGAGAAGGGCCACTCATATGGTTAAGGGCTTGCAGGCCAAGCCCTATGAGGAGAGACTAGGGCACCTGGACCTCTTCAGCCTCTGCAAGAGAAGGTTGAGAGGCGACCTTGTGGCTGCCCATAAATTCATCGTGGGGGCGCAGAAGGGAATTGGTGAGGCTCTTCTCACCAAGGCACCCCTGTGGGTCACAAGAAATAATGGCCATAAGCTAGCAGAGAGCAGATTTAAACTGGACATTAGGAAGAACTTCTTCACAGTCAGAGTGGCCAAAATCTGGAATGGGGTCCCAAGGGAGGTGGTGCTCTCCCCTACCCTGGGGGTCTTCAAGAGGAGGTTAGATAGGCATCTGGCTGGGGACACCTGAACCCAGCACTTTTTCCTGCCCCGGGCAGGGGGTCGGACTCGATGATCTATTGAGGTCTCTTCCGACCCTAACATCTATGAATCTGTAAATCTATATCTCATGTAGACTTTCCTAGATTACTTTTTATTAGGGTTGCCCACCCTCCCAGATTGGCCAGGAGTCTACCAGACTCAGCATCGATCTCCTAGTGACTATTGAAAGCAATCCGGGAAATTTTAATGAGATATTTTAAGAAAATGAAATTAATGACATTACGTCATGTTGTGGGGGGAGGAGGGGGAATCTCCCGGGATAGCTTCAGTCAGAGTTGGCAACCCTACTTATTATGTAAATTAGAACATATTCCATGTTTCATTTCTTTCTAGTAATTCTAATGAAAATTTAACAAAAGAGAAATTCTATTCTCATGAGAAACTAAAACTGTGCAAGCCCTGTTCTTTTTCCACTGAAATTAATGACATAATTCCACCCCAAGTGCAGCCTCATTGTTTTTCCAGACAATACTGAAAAAAGTTTCTGTCATATTAACAACATTGATTTTTGTGCAACTTTCATTCCTAATCCTTGGGAAGGTCTAAAATAGATTTAATGGATTGACGAAGTGTTTGCCCATGTTTTTAAAGAAATAAACTACGAGAGTTGTGGTTAAGGGGATTCCTTTATGTGGGGTGAACAAGAGGAAACCCATTTCTAGAAACCATTGTGGTGATCACAATAGGAGACGAACAGTATTTTGCCATTAGGAACAAGTATTTTCTGCTAGTCATCAAGCTTCAATAGACTCCTCAAGTTCCTTGTGTGTCTCTTGCTTGAAACCCTCTCTTTTAGCCACTCAATGTAATGCCTTGGGAGATCTAGAAAGAACAAAGTGGGCATTAAACATACAAACAAGGCAGGGGTCAATTACTGCATTAAAATCCCCAAGTGCATTGTTTTAACACAAATTTCACATTTGCTCTTGCATACTTTTAAGTGATTCCTTATTTTGTACCTTATAAATGGGCACCAGACGCCAGAGGGAATTATCAAGATTTCAGTGAAACTTGAGATGAAATAAGTAGCTTTAGGTCGGGAGAGATTTAAGACGAAAGCATTCCAGGTTTTTTCAGATTCAACAACAAGGGGAATAAAAAAAAATGTTTAAAGGCCCTTTTCTCTCACTTTAAAAAGTTTGTCGTGAAACATTTCAGAACATTTGTCCTTGCCTGCTTCTCTTTGCTCTGTTAAAGAAAGCTCTGGTACTGTATTCTCATCCTGGAAAAGCAGGCCTACCTTCCTCTCTCCATTTCAAATGTCCTCCAGCTGTATAAATGCCGTCCGCTCAATCAAGACCTGTTTTGTAGCGTTACAGCTTACATTTGGTCTGTCTTCTCCTGCCACACGGGGGGCATGGGAGCATTGAGAGGGGTTAGTGCAGACGCTGGCTTGCTTAACGCTGTGTGTGGGCCAGTAGCCAAGTGATTCTGTTTAACAAGCTGGTCACAGAGCCACGTCTTACGTTGGAACATGGGGAGAATTAAAACATACATTTTAAATTAAATAATTCAACGTTGTTTTTTCACTTTTTTAAAATTTTAATTAGAAACACTTTTTCTCCCTTAAAGCCCTCCTGGGTTGAGTTAATCAGATCAAAGAACAGCAAGTTCTGTACAAGAACAATTCATGTCCCATTACCGAGGCTTTCACGAATGATCTGGCTGCATCCTGAGTGGATAAGATGCAAGTTTGTGGCTCGTCGTTTGAAGGGAAAGGAGAGGGAGCGCACACTTTCACTAGAGTTTTTCTGAGAGAAATAATTGCCGTTAAATAAAGCACCCTGTTTTATCTTAACTCTGTGACCTTTCACAGTAGATCCCTAAAAGGACTATTCACAGTCCTACTACTCCCTGATACAATGGCATAACTCTCTCAGGTAAAAGCAGTGCTGGTTGCGTCTGCACCACCTTGCACAGCATCCTAGGACTTACAAAAAGCCACTGCCAAGTCACAAAGTCTAATGGTACAATGTGTTGCGGGACTTCTGTGCTTTGAAAGCTGCGTTTCCAGACCGCTATAAAATTTTGCCTTCTTCATGAAGTTGAAAATGTGGCATCGTTCTCATAATGAGAGAGAGTTATTTTCCAGGTTTGTCCAAAGAGGCTGAAAGGAAATACATTTTCCCTTAATGATGCATTATATTAATTTAGCTTAAATGGAGTTGTTTGAATTGAACTTTGTAAATCAACTGTGCTATTTCAGGCACCAAACCACTTGCTATGTGAACAAATGGCCACAGGAGTTTATCCAAGAGCAATGAAACTCTGATTTCTGACAATCACTTCAGCCATGCAGAATACGTGTCTGTTTTATGGCACATCTTGAGACATCCCCACTCGGCAATGCCCAGCATCTTCACGCCTCATCTTGCAGAATTCCCAGTTCGTGCAATTCTCCTGTGGAATAAGGCAATTATGGTGCGTCCAGCAGCTCCTGCTGTCCATTGCTGATTGCAATCATGAATAAGCACTCAGAAGTCTAGTTCATCAGGAGAGAAGGCACAACTACTTGCAGTGTGCAAGCACCCAACTCCAGGCTTCTGGAAACATTATGGGCATTGGCACTTTTACATGTGCTCTCGGGGCGGGGAGCACACTTTAATTAGAGCAGCTCCAAGAGCCACTCTAAAGCATCACCACATCTTCAGTGTCCCCGTGCTTAAAAATGGTGATGGGGGCACTTAAACAAGCTTTAGTTCAAGCACCCCCGCCACCATTTTTAAGTGTGGGGACACTGATACTTGATGTGCAGGAGGCTGCTGGAGCACAGTAATTGCCGCACTTCAGCCGACTCGATTAATTGAGTCTGCTCCAATCCCAGCGGATCGGAGCAGCCTCTGCACTTGTGTATAGGCGCCTTATATTTTTACTGACCATGCTCAGAGACTTCACCATGCATAAACAAGGTCACAGACATCCTGTTTGCATAGCCATGATCATATCTGAACTGTGATACCTTCCTCCTGAATTACCTTCTGAATGACATAAGTGCTTAAAAGTGAAAAAGTTTCAAAAGAATGCTACTACTTTTTGTAATGGGCAAAATGCAAATTTATACAGGAAGCAAATGCAAAATTTACTCTTAGTGGGTGCATCTACACAAGATGCTACTGCGTAGTCATTACTGCACATGTATTTAGTAGGGCTGTGCGAAGCTTAGGTCCCTGATTCGATTCAACAGAGATTCAGCCTGATTCGGTGGCCGAATCTCTGAATCCAAATTGAATCAGGAGACCCTTTAATCTCTCCAAATTGAATTGGAATCCTCCAAATCAATTCGGAGAGATTCGGAAAGATTTGGTGATTCGAACATAGACACAGCTTTAAATGTTTTTTCTACATACCTCGAGGTAGCAGGAGGCTTGTGGATGCTGCGATGCTGGGGTGCATGAAGTGTCCCACAGAAGCACGGGGGGCTCCCCAGTGTACTCAACAGCAGACCCAAAAGTGGACCAGAAGGACTTCCAGTCCACTTCTGGGTCCTTCGAGCAGCGTGCCAGGGAGCCCCCCCACACTCCCCCAGCTTGGCGGCTGGTGCCTCCTGGGTCTCGGGGGATACCCGGGGTACCCCCATAGCTGAATGCCAAGCCAGGTAGGTGTGGGAGGGGCCCCAGTGCACTCCCCGGTGGACCCAGAAGTGGACTGGAAGTAGTTCCGGTCCACTTCCAGGTTTGCTACTGCGCATGTGGAGGGCCCCCCCATGCTCCATCTGCCCCAACATTGCAGCGTTCACAAGCCATGCTGGTACCTCGACGTATGTAGAAAAAACTTTTAAAGTTGTGTCTATGTCCGAATCGCTGATTCTCTGAATCAGCATCAAATCTTCAGATTCGGATTTAGCTGAATTGAATCAGGGACAGTGATCCAAATCAACTAATCGAATCACTGTCCCCAATTCGGGCCAAATCTGAATCCAAATCTGAATCCAAATCTGAATCGAATAGGGCCCACTTTGCACGCCCCTATTATTTAGTACTTGATTATACAAGTAGTAAATTAAGTATACTAAAATTAAAAAAGTATTAGTAAATTTAGTACTAAATTTATACAAGTACTAACATTAATCAGGTGCCAAATAAATGTGCAGTAAGTGGAGCTACTGCACAGTAGCACCAGCAAACATCTTTTAAGTGCAGCTACTGCACAGTAGCCTAATACTGCGCAGTAGCGTATTAGCACTGTCGGTGCTGTGATACTGCACTATATTATTACAGTGCTACCACGCAGTATTATTCGGCTTCTATGCAGTCAGTGTCTCATGTAGATGCACCCAGTGAGTATAGTATACCAAACTATCATTTCCTTTCTACACACATTTGTGCTAGCAAAAGTCAATCCCAAGAATGTTTGTGGTCAATGTGTGTAAGCAAAGTAAATTCATTTAGAAATTCTAGTGAATATTTTTGGAAAGTTTCCCAACATCTCTGGTTACTGAAGCTTTCTATCTAGTTCCTATAGTCCTCAAAGTGAGTAGCTTTCTTCAGGGGATTAAGAACCTTTCAGATGAATAAGTGGCTAAACGCTTTGCTGTACTACGCATCCCAAGTGCTTGGGTGCATTATGAACGATTGTCCTAGGGTAACTTCTTATTGTAAGCAAAATCTGGAAGTTGAGTCATACAACTACAAGTTCCAAGAAATGATAGATAAGTATCCTAGACCTCTAGGTTACTACTGCATATATCTTATTCTGCTGTCACCTGGGAAAGAAATATGCAGAAAAGTTTCACAGGATGTTGGTGTTCCTTTCCAGGTCTAGGATCTTCATGTGATTTGTCCTTCTTGGCCTTGGCTGAAATTTTGTCCCAAGTTTTGTTGGAAAAATCACAATTTAAAGTAAATGGGGCAGAGGCGGGAAGGGTAACAGAAGAAGAAGATGAGAATGAGAAGTTGCTTTAACTACTTAGTTCCAAATCGGTGTTGATCCAGAACCCTGCACGCCCCCCCACCCCCGCCTTTTCCTCCAGGAAAGGAAATTGTGGGGAAGGGAATATTAGGCATACAGTTTGCAACCACTTTTCATCACATAGATTTGTTCTCAGCCAGCGGCACACTTTGAACAGCAGGGTGGGACTTTCTAAAGCACTCTGTGCTGGAAAAACTCTGCTTTTGTTCAAGTCAACAGGAGTTTTGTTAGGTCTCATTGAGTCTTGACTGTTCCAATTGAAACCCTGACTGTAATTATTAAGGCTGAGATTGTCCAGGGGGCCTGCAGAAGTTGGGAACACAGTTTACAGTGATGCTGAAACCTTAAACCAGAGTTGGGTGTCTAATGGCCAAGTCTCCTTTGAAAACCTGAGCATCCATTTCCAAATGGATTTTGCCAGAGCCAGCAACATGGTGAGGGTTTTGGGGAGTTGTGTGGTCTAAGCTGATCCATAATCCTATAGCCATACTTTAAGACACTACTTACAGCTTGTTTAGTTTTTGATTCATTTGATGATCCAGACTTCTTAGCACTGGAAATGTTTATGCCCCAATTACATATCGCATATTTGATACACTTAATTCTTCTGACATAAATATGAAGTTATTTACATCAAAGCTTAGTTGGTTGGAAACCTTCCTATATATATTACATATTATATATAATGCTTTCCTGACCTATAGCCCCTAAGGGCCAAATCTAATCCTGTTGAAGTCAATGAGAGTTTTGCCTTTTACTTCAACAGAACCACCCTGTGACCCTAAAAGAACAATACGTACTTCATCACTGAAAATTAAATAAGCGTTTTCTTAGTATAGTGATATAACATGCTATCTCTCTGAATGAAGGAGTTACTGTCTCATATGTTTTTATTGCATATATATTTGAAACCATTTCAAACACGATATTGTTTTATCAGCTTTTGTTCTTAGTTTTTCAACTTAGGTTTTTCAACCTAAGAATGAGGAATGTCATTTCTTATCTTGGCTGGCATCTCAGTGTTCCTCTAACTTTTAAAAGAGCCCTTTATGCTTAACCTAAAGTGTTCGAGCAGCCAAAATCCTTTTCCACTTTGCTGTTAAATAATTGGGCTATTTTAGGCTGAGTTTAGCACAGAAAGTGCTCTTGGCTGACCTATTGGCCACAGGTCATATAGCTAGGTATACTGTCCTGAGGTCAGCAGTGTGCCGTGATACCTTCAGAATTTGGCAGTTAGCTGAGCCATTAGCAAACCCATTTTGGACTTTCTGGAATACGTGTTTTTCAGTTTCAAGCTTGCAAACTCATTTGTTGGTGATGGATGGTCTCTATTAAGAGGTTAGTCCTAACAGAGTCTGCTTCAGGGGCCTGCTTTCTTGAATGTTTATACATTCTTTTTTAATGCTGCTGCTCACGGTACTTCTCAGATGCGGATGAAATATCACAACCACACCCACACTTTGGCAGAGGGGATATTTCAAAAAATGCTTAAGTGATTTAGGATGTGTCTAGACCAGCTGCATCGCATCCCAGAAATGGGGCAACAAAGTGACCTGAGCACATGACAATCAGCAGGTCTAACACAGTGTGCCTGAAAGCAGAACTGGGAGTGGGATTAAGGCTTTGTTGCCTCATTGCCAGCAAGGCAAGGACAAATAGATACTGGGGGGGAGGGTGCTTCTCAGCACCACTCCTGGTTGGGCTACAGAGGCAGTGTGGCCATACCTGGGGACAGTGCTGGATGATGACATGCTGAGGCCCTCAACTCTGTCCAGTTTAAGAGGATAAAAATAATCTATACAATCCACGAAAATGGATTTTCATGAAATTTTAATCTGAATTATTGTTATTTCTGCACAAATTTATGAACTCAATGTGAATAATAACTGGGGAGCCATATATAGGTATATTTTGGTCATATTAGAATGAAAATGTCCATTTGGTTTTTTTCTTGTTTAGAGGTCCTTCATATTGTGAGACCCTAAACTGTAGTTTAAGTAGCTTAAGCCTAAATCCAGCACTGCCTAGGGAAGCCTAGGGGTTCATATACTACTCTAATAGCAGCAACTACAATGCAGTGTAGACCTTCTGGAACTAACTTTAAACTAGCTAGCTGGACTACCAGTAGTAGTCTAGTACCAGTAGCTTAGCCTAAACACCCAAGTATTTATTTCCATGCTACTAGGGCAGGCTTTGCAGCCTACATAGGGCCCCATGCTGTCATGCTGCCCTGCTACCTGTACCTGTACCTGAGCCAACTAGTAGAAACCCTGTAGTGTAGCTTAGTTGTAACCTAGCTGGACCTTTTAGCTGTATCTGAAGTCTCCGTATGAAAAGTGGCTTCATTCTCAGTGAATGCCAATGGGGCTGTTAGTGGGATTTTTCTGGTGAATGAACATACTGGCCACTGAAATATTTTTGACCACTTTGGGCCAACATTTCAGTGTTGATTACTGGGAGGCGCTAATCCTCTATAGAAGGTTTTTCATGCAAAGTTGGGGTAATGTCGGAGAGCATTTCACAACTGCGTGGAAACTGGAGCGGAAGAGAGAGAGAGAGAGAGAGATGAAGCAGTGGGCAGGATACGCGTGCTTTTCCCAGAAGCATTTTGAACCGCTGGAAGGGAGAGGCAGGAGTGAGGGTCTGGCTCCCCAAAAGGGAGGAAGCTGAGCCCTCAAGGTGAGTGATGGGCCCTAGACAAAGATCACAGTTGATTGCAGCTAATGCTCTGGTCCTCAGGGACCTGTAGCATATGAACTCTCCACCCTGAAAGGCTGCTATTAAAAAGCCCTCTCTGAAACATGTACAAATAAGCTAGAGGTAATGAAAGCAAGGAGCTGGCAAAGAAAATTACACCTATGGCGGGTGTCGCGAGGGTAAGACGTCTTCCTCCGCAGCTCTACCGATCCATCTCAGCTCTGACCTGCAGCATCCCCCTGTGTTCTTGGCACTGATCTATAAGACCTGTCCTGTCCTGATCTGGCACCCCCTTCAAAAAGACTGATAAGGGGCCAGGCAGAGAGGTGGTTTTGTGCTGTGCCGAAGGGGGGGAATAGGAGAAGGCCCATAAACTCAATCTCACTTGTTACCCGAGGCCACTTCTGAACTCTAGTTTCCAGAGGTTGGAATGTCCCCTTCTACTTAACACTGGAGGGGGAGGCCAACCTATCTGCAGGGTTTCAAACCTACAGCTTTAAACATGAATGTGATTAATGTGTGGCTTTGAATGTCATGTATTATTGAACTGTATACACTGCTCAGGGCATGGAGGCTTTTCTTTTAAAGTGCAATACAAATGTGAGCTTGAACTGGGAGGGGTGGATAAAGGAAAGCACTAAGCAAAAGTATTTCCATATGTATTTTCAGAATGCAGTGCCTGAAGGACAGAGGGTGTGCTGGGAGTTATGCTATGTTCGACCAAATCAAGCCCCAGCTTTGAACAGAGCCAGTGAAGATGCACTGACTTCCCTTGCAGAAGAGCTGTTGAATACTTCACAACTGCCAAGAATGCCTAGAGAGCTCTCCTTTCCTGTGTATCTGCTCCCCCCTCGCCCCCTCCAGTGGATCGTTAGCGTTAAACTAACATGTACAGTACTTTTCCACACGGCCCCCCCCCAAGCACGTCAGGATTATTATTTCTCAGCAACCAAAGCGCTGATTCAAACAGAACATCCTTAAACTAACTTGAGTCCTGAACCTGCAAGAGGATCTACAAAGCTAGACCTTCTCACATGTGTATGAGCTCACTGGAAGCTGCTGAGACAAAAGGGGACTCTGGCTCTTGGTACTGGGGAAAGATATATGATCATTTTAAATACACTCACCTCAATTAGTCCAATTCGTTTAATAATAGAGGAAACTTTAAAAAAAAAAGCAATTGGAAAGTTTTGAAAAGCAAGGCTGAGAAAGAAGCGTTTCAAACATGGGCTCTTCCATTTGCAATCTATGACCTTGGGGAAGTGGCTTGACCTTCTTGTGCCTGTAACAGTCTGAAATTAGTGTCTGGGGGCAGCGAAGGAACCTTGTGAAATTTAATTAACGGGTGTCAAATTCTTTGAAAAGTACTTTGCAGTTAAAGTGTCAGATGGTAAATACCTGATGTGCCGTAACAGTTTCTGGCCAACTGCTAAATCTCTGATCGCTTTTTATGCTGGAGCTACCTCTGCAAGCCTGGGGATTTATTTGGGGAGGAAAGAATGGTCAGCCTGTGGTGCCACACGACAGAGTTTGTATTAAAATAGTGTCTGGGCATGAGGAAATAATCCCTAAAAAAAATGTATTTGATTAAATTTACCTTTCTGCTTGTGAATTTCCAAGAGCTTGAATCACTATTTAGTCAAAAGTGTTTGAATTAGTGGACAGAGCCTTATGGATGAGAATGGGACTTCTTGATTAAGATCAAGGGTTGCATACTCACATCCTAAAGCTTTAGTTTATGATAGTTATGTTCCATGCTGTGAATGCAGACACATGATACAATTACTATAGAGCAGGGATGTTAAAAATCCACCCACGGCGCTATTTCACCTGGCCGCTGAGGCTCCTAGGGGTGTAAGTTCCTCGACAGAGGAGGGGGAGCAGTGAAAGGAAGGAAGCAAGCAATGTTCATTCCTGCATCGCCACCCAGCCCACCACCACTGGTTGCCCTACCACTGGGTCCAATCTGCTCCCCGAGACTCCTCCCAATCCTCCTGTAAGGAGACCCACAGTCCAGATCTAGCCAGGAGCACCGGTGGGTTTGATACCCTTGCTATGGAGTCACTTATCTCAAATTATATTCTGCGGTAAAGAGCAGACACATGACTCCCAAACTACCTCCCTGCAGTAGGTGATACTACAGCACCTGACCACAAGGTGACCGCAGAGCCTGTTTGCATTGAGCAAAGGTCTACCCTGGGAGATGGAAATAAGGGAACAAAGGATCTGTACACTGCACAACTTACATTTGCATATCGTTATTCCTTACTTGCAAAGGGACACCTTCACTGTAGTGGAATGACTTCCACTAGTGTGATGCTGTGCATCAAATATCAGCTCTACTTTTAACACAGCGTTAGGACCTGTAGTGCAGGTCTCCAGCTGTCTTGCAAAGGCAGGGAGATATATTATTAATGAATCTTCAAGGTAAACTGTCTTCCATCTCCCTTTATCTGTTACCATAGGCATTATTTCAGGCCCAGGTAGGATTTACAATCCAGGCCACAAATAAAAGTCATGTGTTTATTGAAAGAAGTTATCTGTTCAGTGTCACCTCTGATCTTTAAAGCAAAGTTAAACTCAAAGGCGGGGAAAGATTTGCATCCTAGCTCTTCGGATCACAAAACCCAGTGCACAGTTGGCAAGGCCAGAGCCAGCTTTGCAGTAGCTTATAGGGAAGGATGAATAGATCCTGTCTGGTCTAAATCTTGTACCAAAGCTGGAATTGCAAGTGTTTCACTGTACATTGGTTTAATTCAGAAACATTGGCCAAGACTTCCATTTGAGATGGCTCATCAGGGAATACCTTTTGCTGGCTGTATGGAAAGGTCTTGGCAGAATAAAGGAGTTAATATAAATGGTTACCTTTTTCTAAAGCTCCAGTCTTGGGGATTCCATAAGGATTTGCGTCTGGGACTTCACCCGCTTGTGGGATGGGGCAGGGCTGGTAAAGGGGAGAGAGGCAGTAGCTGAATAAATAGGGTTTAGCTCAGGAAGCAGATTGGACTATATGATGAATAGGAAAATGGAACATTGCTATATTCGAACAGCCTTCAGCCCCTGTATCCCATGACTGCACTGTTGCCAACCTTAGGATTTCAGGAAACACATAAGAAGGGGCATATGCCACCAACAGCAAAGAGTTGCCTGATTTGACAGGACTGGTGAAGGGAGGAGAGAGACAGTGAACATTTCCAGATGGTAGATATAAGAAGTACAAGCGCAGTTCCTGGACCTGACACATTTTTTATGTTGATTTTGCTGACTTCTATTGAAAATACATATTGGAAAAGTATTGGTTCCGTGGGTTTTAGGAGGAAAGAAATCCAGTGCAGAGTAAAAATAATTCCTAAGTCCCAAAACAACTCTGAAACTATATTCACTGCCTATGAAATCCTAGAGAAAATTAATAGCCCTGTGGGATAAATCCTACAGACTGTAATTAATAAGGTAACTTCCTACAGAATGTTCAATCTGATTTCTAGAATAGCATCGCATGGATATAATGCATTCTATAAATGCTTGGAGTATTTTCTATAGAAGCCTGTAGGGATAGAAACAAATTCTCTCAGACTGCTCTATAAAAGTGTGTTTTCAACTTTTGTACTTTCCTTCAGCAAAATTGAACTATGGAAGAAATGCATGCATGCTGCATTCTTGCATTGGTTAGCATTTACCTCTCAGGTGGTTTGACCTGTCTGTGAGCTCATTACACTGGTATTTATTAAATTCTGAACTTCCCAGTATATCCAGAAACCTTCCATTGAGAGTGTCAGCTTTGTCTTGTTTAAAGCAACCTCCTCCTCCATTTTTAATTTAACATGGCCAGACCTCCTCCAGTTTTTTAATTAAATCTAAGAGGGAAAATAGGGAGTCTTGCAAGTTCCTTACGCCAATTGACAAACATGTTGGCATGCTCATCTGCTTCCATTTGCAGGATCTGACCCAGGATGAAGATCCTTTCTTCTAAATCTATATATGTCTATAGATAGATAGATAGATAGATTAAATATCTATATATTTATACATAGCTATACATCTCTCTCTCTCTATATATATATATATATATGTGTGTGTGTGTGTGTGTGTGTATATATCTATATCCATCTTGCGCTCTCTTGCTCTTGCTCGCTCTCTCTCTCTCTATATATATATAGAGAGAGAGAGAGAGATGGATATAGATAGATATAGATATACACACACGCGCATTTCTTCTATACAAACACATACATTGTGGAAACATTTTTTGCATAGGTTTATTTGGATCAAAAACTTCAAATTCATCAGAACTGTCACGGGTGATTTGCAGGATGTAAAGATACCGACAGGCAAATCAGCTTTGGTGTCACAAACAATTACATGCCACAGAATGATCCCAATTAGTAAACACCCTCCTAATAGGCCAACTCCCCAAGGATGTTGATTGCTTGTGACAGTGTTTTTCAGACTGTCTGCTAGAAAAACACAAGTCAAGCTTTGCGGGCTGGGTTTTGGCAAATGCCTTGTTACCCCTCCAAAAGAATCTGTGCATGAATAATTAAAAATATATTGGAGCAGAAGCATTATGTACATTCAGCTTTGTCACTCCAAATCCTTTTATAATGAGGCCTAGTCCTTGAACGCATTAAAGTGGAAGACCCTTCTGAGTCAGGGGTGTCAAACACACCCTGGTCCAGACCTGGACCACAGGGCTCTTTGCAGGCTGGATTCACAGGGCCAGCAGCTGTAACAGAAGCAGGGTCAGCAGCAGCTGAACAGCAGCTGTCCTTTGGTGGCAGCAGGAGGTCCAGCAGCGGTCAGAGGTCCAGTGTTGACTGCAAAGTTTTGGGGCCAGTGGTAGTGGTGGCAGGGGTCCGATGGGGCCAACCTCTTACATGTTGTAGCGGGGTGACCAGGGCCATATCATACAGGACCATGTCACACAGTCCTCGTTGACTCTCCTGCCAATGATGGCCAAGTCTAGTGAGGCCCACAGGCCCTGAAATCTGAACCATGCCCTCTGGCCGCACACCAACCTCCGGTAGCCCATTGGTAGCCTAGTAGGCTGGATCCAACCAATGAACCACAAGGTTAGCACCATTTTATACCTTTCTGCTTGGTGCTTCAAGTTTTATACCATTGGAAGTAACCATTTTTATGTTGAGTCTTTGACTTACATTTTGCCAGTAATTGCTGCCATTTTCTACAGTGTTTGCTTTGAAAGGGCCACCTTCAACTCTTGTGCACCTCTTCCATATTCAGAGGTTGGAAATATACTCACACTTCCCCTTTCTCTTTCATGCTATTCTTTATTTTATCCCCTAGTGGCAAGTTAAAGCTTTTCACGATTGGCTGGAAGGGTGAAACTGGAGATGAACTTGAAACTTGGTTGCCTAGTTTTCAGTTAAGGCAGGTTACCTGAAACATTTTACACTGTCATTTCAAACAACAGTGCCCCATCCTTACCACCCACACTGCTACACTTTCAGAGGAAGGAATAAAAGAAAGAGTCAGAGTACAAAAAAGGGATGAAACAAGAAATTAGAGCTGGTACCTTTATTCAACCAGATGTTTGACACCACCGGACTCGGAGAATAGGCTGCAGTTACTCACTCCTCTTCAACCTGGACAGTGAACCTAATCCTGATTTATCTGTCTGCATTCTTCAGCCAGTCGCCAGCTGATGTCTTCCTTTTCCACAAACACACTCTCACCCATACAGCATACAAAAGAGCAAAAGGTCGAGCACTTATGTCAAGCTACAGAGCAATACAAAATGGAGTTTTTAAGGCAATGCAAAACTCAAGAAAATACATAAGAATAGAAGCAGTAGGCAAAAGTCTATTTCCATATTATTTACCTAACCTCAAGCTGGTATTTATGCTATTTGCATAACACTATGCCCTCTTCCCCTCCCCCAGTTATACCACTAGGAGATTCCAGTCTATGGATGGGATTATAACATGGGCTGGTGGCTTTAGAGAACCATTCTTGCTGCCCACTGAAGTGTCAGGTACAAATACCATTAGAGACACGGTAGCAAAGGTCTGATCTGGTTTAGTAAGTCTTAGGATCCCTTCACTGAGAAAACACCGTGGGCGCTGACAGACGCGCAAGCCCCCGCTCTAACTCATCATGCTTTACAAAAAGCACCATGAGTTAGAGCAGCCCTGGTGATCCAACAGACGTCCACCTGTTGGGTCAGGGGTTGGGGATCAAGCCCCACTTTGGAGCTGATCCAGCTGAGGAGCCTGCCGGCAGCCTCTCTCCCCCAGCCCTGCTGCCTGCCAGCTCTGGTGCTGGAAAGGAAGGGGAGTGGGCTGGGGTTTGCCTGGCCTGAGCTGGCAGTAGAGGAGGCTGGGGAGAGGGGGAACCAATCCACACCACCCCCGAACTCAGGCTGGGCAAAACCCAGCTTGCAGTTCACTCTCCCTCTCTTCTCCCCGCTCCCTTCCTGCAGATAGCCCCAATCAAGTGATGGATTGATCCTAGGGAACGGAAGTTCCCTAAGGTGCTCCAGAGTGGAGCTCCTTCATCTGATCTCTCCTTAGATGAGGGTTGATTTGTCATGCAATTGGCCACTTTTAAAGCACTCTGCAGCTGTGCACATGTGTCACAGCACTGCTGTAGAGTGCTTTCAGGGGGGCGATAGTGCAACAAATGTAACTTCTGTCTGCGCCCTTGGTCTATCATTTTAAACTCTCTGATTCCAAAGTAACTGCCGTATGCAAAGGGGTCCAAACAGCACTTATCACCCTAGCAATATCATCTTCCCAAGTAAAGAAATGAAAGAGAAACTCAGACTTCATGCAAAATAGTATACCTACAGTTCACTGCAATTTTGCCACTGATGTCCACTAAGAATGGCGCAGCCAGGATCTGATTCAAATCCTATGTGAATTAGATATGTAAAATCCCCTTCCCTTTATTTGCAGGAAACTAAGCAAGCTCAGTCCTATAATTCAGTTCAGGTTCCTAATCAATCCTTTTTAAAACCTTTGTTCCTCTTTCTTCGCCCCACTGGATGTATTCTGGAATCTGGCAGACCCGCATGGAAATTTACCTCTAGGGGATCATTTAAGAGTAAAACATCCCTGTTCTTCCACCATGTGGAGGGAATACTTTGATGCAAAGTGGTCAGCCTAGAGGAATATAGAGTTACTGGAAGCTCAGGGTTTTTTTCCAATGCAATCAGCACTAAGTAACTGAACTACTGTGTTTGTATCTCTCAAAGGACCCAGAGCTACTACAGAAGCTCTGGACCATCCATTAATGGTTAATTCATCACCATTTGAGCTCCTTAGTTTGCAGCTGGAAGTCTTGCTGAAAAATAAACTACCATTCACACACAATTTACTCAGCTTGACAATGTTCATTTCTGTCATGTGGAAGAGTAATTCCTTCCACTCTGTGGACAACTAGATGAACCTCTGTGGCCTGCCATCATCCATTGAAACCTGTCATGCGTCTCCATGCAGATGTATGTCTATAGTTAGTTACCTCTTTATCCATAAAGAGATGGGAAACACTTATTTGGTCATTTATACTATCATCCAGCCAACGTGCTATTGTTCCCAAGGTACACGTATTAGTGCCCTGTTCAGTATTTTTCAACCTAACAACAATGAGATTTGCATCATTTTCCCTGGAAGCTTATTCATAAGGCTAAGACATCTCTCTTTTTTTAGAAGGCCTTTCCTGTTTTTCAAACTGAACTTTTGCTTCTCTCACAACACTTCCAGTTACCCCATTCATGCTTTTCTAAAGAATTCTTCCATACACTTCAGGCACTTACTGGCTGCTATGAAGACCTCCCTTTTTATCCCTAACCGAGCTTCTGTACAATTGCATCTTTAAACTTTCAGACAAAGCGATGTTGAGTAGCTTCCTCTCCTCCTTTTCTGCTCCTGAACTCCATTTCACCTTATTACTGTTTTCCTGGTAAGTACATACGTACAGTTGGCCAGATCCTCACCTGTGTCACAGCATGTTTCCAGAGATTACAACAGAGCTAGGACAATTTACCCCATTTGACAACCTGGCCCCATATGCCAAATGCTATTACACCAGGGCTTGTCCGTGAGTGAGGGCCTCTGAGCGTGCAACCCCAAATTGCAAACTTCTGTCTAATTTGCTATCAGCTTCTACATCTCTTTCAGCCTTAAAGCCTTCAGGGTTTCTCCCTTCCAGAGAATTTTGTTTCAGATGGTTTTTCCCAGATGTACAAGCTTACTTTTTTTTCCCCCAGCCTCATTAGCATTTAGTGCTTTCAGCCCATATTTCTAACCTTTCTGCTTCCCTCTATATTATGTCTATGTCTGTAATGATGTTTGCAGTCCCTCGGCATCTGTAAATTTTATTAGCATCCTATTTACTCTCTCACTAGAATAATTAATAAATGCTAACTAAAAGGGGTGCAATACCAGCTGCACTAGCCACCTCGCTTGGAATCTCCATGTCTACCGCTGTGTATCAACTGTCCTTTCTCTAGGGGCTGTCAGTGACTTAATTCATGTACCAGTGTTCAAACCAAGCCAATCTGAATGACTGTTTTGGTGAGATTGTGTAAGACACTGTATCAAATGTTTTAGTAGAGTCCAAAGGCAACAAATCTATTGCATTCCCTCTGTCCACTAATTTTTTCTTTTGCATAATTGAGGATGAAATTGCATAACTGTTTAAATCCCCTGCCTGAGTACCATAGCCTGTGGGTTTGAGGACTCCAAGAGTTAGTCTAGGAATTTGTCTCGCTTTTCTCCATTCATGGTGGCCTATGCCTAATCTTTCTCCTTTATTTTTCATCCTTTGCATCTTTATCTGCCTCTTCACCAGAATCCAGCAGGTCTTCTCATTTTCTGTTTCTAACATCAAAGGCACAAATGGGAGGGAAGGTCCCAATTCACAAGAAAATCAATGGGAATTAAGGGTTAAATCCTATTTCAACTGTTTGGGCCTAAGTGGCACTTACACTGATGCATATGTTTTGGCACTTACATACATTTTAGATTCCACGTGGCTATACTTGGCATGTGCTTACCTACTCAGGAGTTTGCACTATGGTTATGTCAGCTTGTAGGCAAAATGGACTTGTCAGGGCCTGTGCATAACAGCAAGTCCAAAACTTTTGTCACACCAAAACTGTAACTGGTGGGTGTTTGATGCTAGAGGAGGAAGAGAAGGGCTCAAACTATTTAGTCCAATGGTTAGGGGCAGAAGAGCTGTATTCTATACAGTATACCACTATCCCCTTCTAGAAGAGGCTTGAATCTGTAAGTCCTGCTTTCCAGCCTAGTGCTTTGATCACCAAGTGATAGGCCAGGCATTGCCTAGAGCAGGCATAGCCAACCTGCAGCATGGGTGCCACAAGTGGCACATGGCAGACTAGGGAGGGGACAGGCAGCACAGCAGCAGGTAGGGCAGGAAACCAGAAAGCAGAGCAGCAGATCAGACAGGGAACAGCAGGCTGGACAGGGGCACAGGGCAGGGAGCAGAAAGTGGAGCAGCCAACTGGGCATTGGAGTGGCACTCAGGGAAGTGCGAGGTTTATCTGTGGCATGCCTGCCAAAAAGGTTGACCTTCACTGGGCCTAGAGGACTCTCCATCCCTGCTCTTGAAAACAGCCCATTGGACAGTCAGGAAGGGAAGATATGTGGGGGCAAGGGAAAAAAAGCAGGCTAGCAGGGTGGCTCAGTGAGATAGTTTCTGCTCCACAGGGACCAGAGGTCCCTCCATCCAAAAGCAGGATCTATCCCACTTCTATGTATCCATAGCCCTCTCTACCCCTCCACTTAAAGCTGGCTGAAAGAAGCCAGAGGGAGAGGTCCCTCCCCCCTGCCTCCTAAGGGGGCTGAAAATATCCCACTGCTGTTTGCCCAATGAATAGAGAAATGCAAAAAGCAACGAGCCAACTTCAGGAGTTCTCTGGGCAGCACCTAGACCTACAGCCTGGGGATTAAAGCAATTATATTGGAAAAGGGAAGACCTCTAAGTGGGGAAGCAGCAAGAACCTGTGTCTCCTGCTCTTTGAGAAAATGCCCTTTCCACAGGCTCGGGGTGGGAG